CATTTTTTTAATCTATTAAGAAGTTTATGTGTTATAAATGTTAAAAGAAATTTTTGGCATTCAAGCAAATGTTACACGCACTAATTAAAAAAAAGAGAAAGGATTTGCACACTGACTGCTATGTGCTATTAAATACATTTATTTGCCTTTTTTTTTTATTGAAATGATCTAATATACCCTCATCAATCTCACACTCTTTTTTTCTCTCTCTTTTTAAAAAAAAATTCTCATGAACATTATTAAAAACACAAGAGAACAATAAAATTAACTAGACTGAGTGAAATCACTAAAATTGTTTATAATAAATACTTTTTATTTGAAAAAGTTACCAAGTGATTTTGATAGGCTTGGTAAACTTTTTTTGATAAAAAACATTAAAAACATGCCAAGGTGCTCACCGCAAAGTATTCAAGATTCGACAAACTATAATAACAATAAAGGTAAAACACAGTTATTGATTATTTTTTATTAATTTCTTTACAACAATAATAACAATTATCATTATTTATTTATTCTTAATATTCAGATCTTGCTTTCAAGAATAGTAAACATACTTCTACACCCCAAGAATCGTTATTGTTTTGATCAGAATTGAGTTGAAAAACTTGAAACTTAGGTACATGATCAAATCTTGCACAATATTCTATAACATGTTTTGTTGAATCAATGTCAGATAAATTTGAGTTCAATGATTGATTAGATCGTTTTAATTCAAGCAAGTAATTCATCAAGCCCATAGATTCTATAGAATAACATAAATTCAAATATGCGAATTTTGAAGAATCTTTTTTTGTTTTTGCATCGCCACGACTAACAATAATTTTTCCATTTATTTCAGCAGAGATTAATGCTCTATGTAATTTATTTTCATCTGGACCAAAAGATTCCCATTTGATGGGATCTTTAACATGATTCTCAATGAAAATTTTAGGGGTTTTTAACCAAATTTCATTTTCTTTTTTAGAAGCAATTAATTCAGTATTGAAATTTTTTCTTATATAATCCATATCATAAATT